AGGGAGGGAAAGATAGAGGTGGAGGGGAGAAAAATCTACTAAAAGATGTAAGAGAACTCTGTGTGCTCCTAAGAGTGCAGAGACTGAGGAGAGTGGATAAAGGCAGGCAGAATGTGGGCAAGGACTATTCAAACCATGAGACTACCATATATTCTGCTTCTGCTACCAGTACCCCTCACTTCTGATCTGCAACCCCTGCTATTGCAGTCCTACCACCCCAAACTCTGACTTGAAATTATCCCAGTTTTAGTCTAGACATAATTCTGCCTCTTGTTCCTCACTTCTGCCCCTCCCACCGTTGTTATTTTTCAGTCCTGAGCATCTCCTGAGCAGAAACCAACATGGCAAATTAACTGAGCCAAATTGAAATAAGATGGAAAAAGCCCTCGAGTATTTTGATGAGACCCTTAAACTTACTTCCTCTGTGACCCTGCTAGTTCCACACCCACGTAGTGAAAGGCTGGTGTACTGGCTAACAGTGCAGCTGAACCCCTCAGAACTGTTGAAGACAGGGATTCAGCAGAGTTCTGCTGCCGTGATGTTGGGAATGTTGTGCTTGGGAAGAACCACACCCAGTGGGTGCCTGCTGCTCTGGGCCATGCGTCAGCCAGGGATATTTCAAGAAAGACTTCAATACTTGTCCCTCCATAAATTCTCCAAATCCTCTCTCTGCAGTGGAGTCAGATAACAGTCAGAAGAACAATGGCTCCAAGAATCCAGGCTGCCCATCTGCTCTGTGTTTCCAGATTCTTGCCTCCCCAGCGCCAGCTGATGAAATTTTCATAGCTGATGAGGTTTCTCATTTCCACTGGGCCTTGCTGCCTTGGGGCCTTCACAGTTGATCAGTATCTGAGTTTGTGTGGGTATATGCTATAGGAGACAACACTCAGACAGTCCCCTGCTCTTTTATAGACCTTTCAACTTAGGATCTTAAAGCGCTTTACAAACATACATTAATTAAGCCTCACAAGAAGTTAAGAGTCTGATTTTCAGATCTTCTGAGCACCCACTGCTCCTGTGAATTCTGTTGGAATTAATGGTGCTCAGCACTTCCCAAAGTTAGATCTTAAGTGACTTCTGCAATGTCAAACAATGAATTAGAGATGGAATCAGTGATATAACTCAGGAGTACCATGCTATAACCAATGGAAAACACTCTTCTCCCAAACCTAAGAACAGCACCCAGCGGTCCTGGCTCCTATTACTTTATCTATTATTTACTTCATCTTGTCTATCCTATCTCTGTGTTTCTGCAAGGTAGGCAGCAGGTTCATCCCTGCCCTGGGAACTGAGGTGTGAGATGTGGGGGCATTATGTTATGTTACATTATATTCATTTATATAACACTGTTAATACCAAAACGTTGCTCTCCTGGAACCAGTTGCTCACTAAATCTACTGGAGTTCAATTAACAAGCACCAAGTAATCTAACACTGGACTCCCAATAATCCCTTTATTTTAAGGGGCCTCTGGCTGATGCAGAAGCCCCCAGCAAATGACCCTAGAAATACATTTGAGATTCTCTTAAATACCAGCTGAATTTATGACCCTCAATGAAGAGCAGGAAAGAATCTCTTCAAAATACTTTCCAAGTAGCAGCACTTTATATAGACCACTGTAACAGTATAAAAGAGACTCCTGATGGGGCAGGTGCCACCCTGTGGAGAGATGAATCCCCTATTTAGTAAAGCATTTACAACCTTGACTGGTGATGGAGTGGACATCAGGAGGCTGAGAAGTACTATCTCCCCATCAGAGGGAGGCAGTGCAGGTTCAGGCCGCTCAGGTTCACAGTCACCCTATGTCAAGCTGATGAGACAGAGTGGCATCTGACTGGCTGGGCCCCGCCAGGAAAACCTGAAATAGCCTCAAGCTTTTCCCGTATGAAACAAAGAATCCCTGTAGAGATGTTTTCCCCTCTACTTCCTTGAGACACCACAGGCAGGCAGAGGGCTGTCAGGAAATGCCCTGTTCTCCCTCCTGCATTGCCAGTCATTCTGGGACAGCCTTGGATGGTTCTGGAGAGGATTTCTGGCTAGTCCTCAGCTGACAAGTTGGGACCTCAGTGGGAGAGAAATTCTCATGGATCAGATGGGTCAAAAACAGGAAGCATGTGAACAAAACCTTAGCCATATAGGAAATGCACTCTGGGGTAGGTATGCAGGCACAAAGGAATGCTGGTTCATTCAGGTACATTCCTTAAAGTGGAACACCCAGACATAATGGAATCCTAGGAACAACAAGAACAACCAAGCACTTGCACTCAGGAACACCCCATTACATCCTGCCAAGGCACAATGGGACAGCCAAGTACACCCCAACAGTATGCTTGGAGAGTGCACTTACAGATCAGTACAACCCACCAATAAAACTGCTGCTACCAGTTTAATTCCACTCATTCTCCCATATGGTAGCAAAGTCTGCCTCCCAGCTTTAACAATCGCATTTGACACTCAGAGAACACCTTACATGTTGAGTTTTGCACCTGGAAACTCCAACAATAATGATTTCAGCAAAAATGAGTTGATTCCCCCTTTCTAATTAGTACTCGTATTCTGTAGGGCCCAAAAACAGTAATCAAGATTGGATCCCAATTGTGCTGAACACAATACAGACATAAAAATAGGTCCAGCTCCTTATCTTAAAGCGCATACAGTTTAATTCATGGCAAGACTCAACAAGTGGGTGCAACCTATGATCAGTGGAAATAGGGAAGGAAGGAGGAGAATAATAATGATAAAAAGCACATGATAAGAAAAGATTGCCTTTAGGACAGCTAGATGAATTCAAGTCACTTAAACATACTTATATGGGTGTATATATTATGAAATATAAACACAAATCAAATAGGTTGTATGTGATCCCTCATCTTCATCCACATGGCAAATTCCAAAATAATATGGCCTCCTTGCAAAATGAACATACCCTAAGTCAGTCACTGACTGTAATGGAGGTGTGACAGCACCTCCTTCTGGCTATCCTGGAAATCAGCTCTGGTCCACCAGTGTGCCTTCATCCAGTGTGTCCTTCTGGGCCATCACTTTCATCCCTAGGATGGTTTGGGACGGTCATCCCAGGGCCTATGTTTTGGGAGGCCCTGCAGTGGCCACTTCAACCATACTGTGGACGGGTCCCAGGGCACAGGTGGGGCAGGGGCAAGAGGTTGCCTTGGCCCCACACTTGGGGCACCAGGGGATGGTCCCAGGCACCGCACTACCCTAGGGACAGCCCTGCTTCTGTTTCCACCTCTAGGACCAGTGTCACTCCCCAGACTGTAGGATCCTCTTCTGGACACAGCCTTCTGGCCATACCCCACTCCAGCCTCTCCCCGCTTCCAAGAGTCCTCAGTCCAACCACTTGTTTCAGTGGCAAATTGCCATCCATGCCCTGGCCACTCCACTCAGTGGCAAGCGAGGGCAAAGGGAAGGGGAAATCCAGGCCTGCACATTACCCTGGGTCCCAGCCCAGGGATCCTATAGTTGGGAGCTACATACTGCCCTCCTCCAACTCCACTGTCTCCTTCACTGAGTCACAGTCACTTTTCTACAGCCCCAGCACCTTCTCTACCCCTGGTATGAGGGCCTTACTCTGGAAGCTGGCAGCCTAGAGCTTCTTCATACTCTGCTGACTTTGCCCAGCACTGCTCTGTCCATGGTGCTTCCACTTTTTAGGCGGCCAGGTTCCTCCCTCAAAC